AGGGAAAGAAAGAGGAGGAAGGAAGAGGAGGAAAGAGTAAGGGAGAAAGAGAGGAGGAGGAGAGGGAGAAGACAGGGAAAGGAAGAGAGGAAAGGGAGAAGAGGAGAAGAAAACGATAGATAGGGTACTACACGTAAGGACATCAAAGTGTTGTACTAGGAACATTTTACAAGACATTTGCCCTTCCCCCATTCTCTTTAATTCTGACAAAATAAAACATGAAACTGTGGGAGAAATGTACTGTATATCTCTATAGACAAGAACAGCAAGAAATGAACATGTTATAAACACTAGGGAAATTCTTCATACTGATTTTTAGCAATATGGAACTATTAAAAGTATTTCCTGTCTTAACATTACAAATACTTTCAAGCATACTTCAAAACTGAAGAGAATAGTATAATGAATCTAATTGTATACTTCCAATTAAATATGGTTTTAATCACTTTTCTTTAATCAGACCAATCAATTATTTTCTCTGATCCTAGAAGAGATATCAAAAAGGTATGGTGTTCTTTCCTTATTTTTTAAACCAGAAAAGAACATCAAAATAAGGCTCGGCAGACTCAATTTAATTAATGACCACCAGGAGGAGCTCACCCAGTGTGCTCTACAGTGCCAAAAAAGGGTCATTCAGACACCCCAAACAAAGTAAAGGCAGGGGCAATTAATTCGTCAGAATGTTTAAATTTGGGGCTGTAAGTAAGAAACAAAATTAAGAATCTACCCAACTACTGTGTGATATATTGCTTTGCAAAGTACATAAGCTGACTGCATTTTTATACACTACAAGAAAATTTCTCCTTCAATAAACTCCAGAAGAATACGTAATTCTAAAAATGTCCTTGCTCTTTAAGGAAGAGAGATCCTTTCTTTGTTTAGAAGTGACTGACAACAGAAGGCAGACAGAAAGACAGAACAGTTAATTCCAGGGGCTATTAACACTGTTTTCTAGACTTGTGTTCCAAGGAGCACCATTCCCATGGAATACATTGGAGTGAGTCCACCTGGAATGGTGCAAATCCACAGAACTTTGGGGACAAAATGAAATTTACCAAAAGCTACTATCATTGAATCTAGTCATCTATAAACAAGCAGAACTAGAATAATACTTAATGGAGTCATTTCATTGCAAATCTCCCTTTCACTCAAAATGGGTATCTCTCTCATGGACTGCAATAGACAGAAACTTTTCTGTTAGCTTATATCAGTTATACAGAGTGAGCTTTCATTGTTCTAGCTCCACAATGTGTTCCAATCAATTTCCCCCCTCTATCACTCTCCCTGCTCCCCAGATTTCTTTGTTTCACTTTCACAGTTACAAATGATCTGCTTCAACAGTGTTCAATCTCCTTCATCCTCCCTACTCTCTCCAGTCCCCACTCAGAGACAATTTGTTTCCCATCCTACAATCTTTCCACTGATCAACAGCTTTCACTGAGTTTTCCATGCTGTCCTCATGTGCATCTACATTACCAAGTTTTACACTTGCATTACAAAGTTAAGAAAGTAACTTATCTGTACCAAACTGCTACTACCAAATATACTTGCTTTCAGATTCTAGGCCATGACATTGGTTCTTATCTTCTTATTGTAACAAATTTAATATCCAACAGGCAGTAAGCAATTTCTCTAGATAATAAAAAGCTCTATGTTTTATCTAATTGCCTTTAGTTCTAATAATATAAATGGTATGGCTTGCCAATTCAAATAAAAGCTCTTGCACTTCCTAGAAAATTTGAAAGAAAGTGAATGAACAAAAAAATATGAGAATTAACCTTCCAGAAAAGTAACTGAGAATAATTTTTAAAAAGGAGCAGAAAAAATGTATTACTAGTTAAAGCAAAAGCAGAATTTAAGAAGTAGGTAATACTTGATGAAATTTTGCTTCTAACAATCTTTACATTTTTAGCTTGATATTTCTGAAAAACAATAACGAGACTTACATTGGTAATATATGGCTCAATAGCTTGAGCTGTCCTCTTCAGTAAAGCCTTTGCCAAATCATATGCTTGCTTGTTTAAATTCTGAAAAACATAATATGTACATTATAACACACACACACACACACACACACACAAATACACACACCTAATAAATGATCCTTTGTTTAGTTTACAGTGCTGGGAATCAAACCCAGAGTCTCACACACACTAACTAGATCCAAACACTACCACTGAGCTCCATTCTATATACTATAAATATGTCTGTATCTCTAGGAAAAGTAAAATATTATCTGTACTCAAGTAAAGGTATGAAAAACTATCTATAAAAGAAATCAAGGGCTGGGAAGATGGCTAAGTGGTAGAGTGCTTGCATGAGGCCTCTGGGTTCGATTCCTCAGCACCACGTAAGCAAAAAAGACTGTGACTCAAGTAGTGGAGGCTAGTCTTGAGCTGAAGAGCTAAGGGACAGTGCCTAAGCCCAGAGTTCAGGCCTCACAACCAACAAAAATAAAAGTAATAAATAAATAAATAAAATCAAAAAGGATACTCGAGTAAAGAATGAAGAAACTACTTATTAAAGCAAGCAATGCCACTTTTCTTAGGAAAATCTGGCCTAGTAGCTCACAATCTTCCAAGCAAGAATAATATACACCTCAGATACAGTTTGTAATAGAATGAAAACCACAGAAATGATCTATAAATGTTTATAAGAGGAGGAACACGTAGTCATTTAGTCATCCTAAATACTGTCTAATCTCAAATTCAAATCAGTTCATTTGTGTACAAACCCAGGCTGCTACACACCAGGTCCAGAAGAAGCAAAACATAGAAAATAAACTAGGTTTTCATGTGGAAGCAATAAGGAACATAAGACATTTTAGACAGCCGTGGAAAAGCAAACATAAAGCATAACTCAAGCACACAACAAGAAATTTAATGGTGAAACCACTGTTGTTGTTCTTTTAATTTGAGGGAAAAAAAATGCTTTAAAATGTCATTCTAAAAGAGTTTGGTAACAAACAGAAGAATAAAGGACCTAAAATGAGGCCACTACTTGGGATTAACCACATACCAGAAAGCAAGATAGGAAATATGCATCCTTTTTTATCCTTGGAAAAACTAGGGTTTGAACACAGGGTCTTGAGTTCACAAAGCAAGTCCCCTGCCACGTGAGCCTTAACCCTATCCTTTTAAAAAATAATAATAATAATAAAGTAATTTATTACACATAGTTCTGGGTATTTGGAAGTCCAAGATCAAAGCATCAGAATTCAATGTGAAAATATCCTTAAATTAACATTCTTAGGCATACTGCTGTATTATTTCCATCATTTCTAAGAGATGTTTACTTCTTTGCTACACGGTATGCTATAGCATCATTAACTCAGCCCCAAATCCATGAATATTAAATTATGTAGGTCTCATATACCACCCTTACACATATGGAGAGTAATTCTGGGGAAGCTTTTATCTTTTTCAGACGGGCTACCTGGCCCTGTAATTTCTTACTATAAACTAAGTAGTTCCTCAGGAGGTAAAAGTAGGAGGATCTCTGTTCAAAATGAACCCAAGTAGTTAGTGAGAGACCCTACCTGCAAAACAAACTAAAAGCAAAAGTATAACTCAAATCATAGATTGCTTGCCCAACAAGGGAAAGGCCCTAAATTCAACTCCATTACTGGAGAGAAAAAAAAAAAGGTCTATAAAGTAATCCTTTGTCAATCACACACACACACATTTAGACATATTCCTACTAAGAACTAAACAATTTATTTGTTATATAAAGCCCTTCTCCATCCAGTAAAAACTACTATGTCTAAAATTAATATAAACTACCTCAGTTTTCTTTTGTTTTATATTCTCCTGGCAAGTCTTTCATCAGTCTTTACAACAAGGCTTTTATAATTACATTTCAGCTATTTCTCTTATTATCATCAACCACCTGGATTATCTTCAACCAACACGACAATCTTATGTGGCAAATTTAGGCCATTTACATTTGGTATAATTCTTCCTTTTCTTGAAGTCATTAAAACGTTTAGGATGAATATACTTCATTTACAGTTCAAAGTTACTCAGAGGCTATAAATATTTCTATAATTATACAACTCATTAAATCACTCAAGCTTAAGGTATTATTTGTATCTTAGTAGTTTAAAATTATTTTGCTAATGTCCTTTTAAGTAATCATTACAATTATTACTGCTACTGTTCTTATGTATCCATTCTTAGAGCACTTCTAGTTTATCACTATTTATTCCTAAATTCAATTTACTTCATTCTAAAGAACTCACATTATACTTTTTTCAGAGGACAAGTGAATATGTCTTTAATATGCAACTATAGGCTAATTATCTTAACATCTAAAAAATCTTAACATTTTACCTTCTGGTATCAATTAGGGCTTTCTTTGCTTTTTATTTTCACTATGAATGTTTTTGATTATTTGGATTTGGTGCTTGCCCATTTTCTCTATGTGTCTAGACACAGATTTATTTTTAAATAATGAAACCTTTACTGCCTATTCCATAAGCTCATTTTAAGTGAACTTCTATTTGATCCAAATATCACTTCTATTTCCCATTTGCTGTTCTGAAATCACTGTCAAACACACTGGGCTTTATTCTTCATGTTTTCACTATTGCCTGTGCCTGTGTAATTTCCTCAGATTACTGTACATAGTTCTCTAAATACCTTTCATATACATATATATCTTCAAAACATACACAAAAAATTGGCCATATATGCTTATATATGTATGTGTAGAAATAAAAACCAATTGGTTATATACTAATGCATACATATGTATTTTATATATAAAAATACATGCATATCAGTATATGTGTATGCATATACATAAAACATGTTACATATACACATGTATATTATATTACATGTGAATGTATATGTGTATTTTGATATGCACATATATACTAACTAGTATACATACATACACCTATACTAATATATACACTAATACATGTGTGTGTATGTTTCAATTAATATGAATTTTTTTAACTATGAGTATGGTAGTATCTGCTTCCTTTCAATATTACTGAATGATTTTTATTTGGCTTTGAAATTTTGTATTGTAAGATCATTTCAATAACCTTCACATTTTCCTTCACATTATTTTATTTAATGGATATAGAATAAGGTATTTTGCCTGAAAGATGTTAAATGAAAACATTCTTACAGTAGTGATTCCTATGTCCCTTGCATGAAAGCAGACATCTTCAAAATCACAGAAGTGTATTTCCAATTGCTTAGTTAAGAGAACACTGTTTTCAAAACTCAAAACACAAATGCATATAAAAAATCAAATATACAAACACAACTTGATTACCATCATGCAGGTAAGAAATATTATCATCAACATATCTACTGTCCCTTAATAGGCATCCCTTTTCATTTCATTCATTTTTTTGGTTAAGGCACTAGCTCCTTTCATCTATAAAGTAATATAACAGCTTCAAAGTCACCACTGACTCACTCTGAAGTATATCCTACAAAACTTCAGTTTCAAATCTTTTATCAGATAATATTTTATTACATTTATTTCTTTTTCAATTAGTGGTTAATAAACAATGTGCTTTATACACATAAAACAGCAAACAATAATAAATCTTAAACTAAGATTGAAAACAAATGGTATTTGGAACATAAGCACAAATTCAGGGTATTAAATATTAGTGAGTATAGACACATTTTAGTACATAATATTTACATACCTTATGGGCAGGTACCAGATTTACTAAAACTGTATCCAAAAGCTCCTGAGATACTGTATCACCTTCACAAATAATAGAGCTCATGAGGTCTACCATGTGCATATGAACTTTCTGATTGTGGCCATTGCTGAAATTCAAAATAAATATCTGGTACAAAGTGTATCTGAGATGTACATGATTTAATAAGATGATGCTAACAAATATACTTCTTAAAATGATGGCAAAATGATAAACATATATATTCATTTCGATCATCTCTCTCTCCCCTAAATCTTACGATAGTATACTCAAAATATATTTAAACTATATTCCTGAATTAGCTCACCAAATTTTTTTTTTTTGGGGGTGGGGGGGGAGGTCCGGTCGTGGGGCCTGAACTCTGGGCCTGGGCGCTGTCCCTCAGCTCTTCAGCTCAAGGTTAATGCTCTACCACTTGAGCCATAGCGCCACTTCTGGCTTTTTTCTTTTTGCTTATGTGGTGCTGAGGAATCGAACCCAGGGCCTCAGGCATGCAAGGCAAGCACTCTACCACTGAGCCACCTTCCCAGCCCTAGCTCACCAAATTTTAATCAGATACATTTTCAAATCAAATTTTAAATCAAATGTAATTTCAATTTTGTTCTAAATTCAAAAATCTTAATTGATTTGAAATTCTAGTAATTTTAATTACACAAAAAACTGAACAACATATATGAAGAAATCAATATAATTTATATCCAAGACAATACAATCCAAAAATCTAAATCAGGCTTCTAATCAGTAATTCTTTAAATACAAAACTGAGTTCTATTCATTATAAAAAGATCTATACAAATAAATATTTGGACTATATTATAATTCCCAGATCTCAAATATTTACCACAAATGATCAGTTTATGTAGATTAACCTGTAAGATAAAATCATCACTTTCATGTTTTTTCAAATGTTATTTGCTGAAAAAAATAAACTTACTTTATAACTGAAAATAATGTTCTGTATAGTTGGGTAAAAATTTCATTGCTATCTTCTAACTCGAAGCATATGTTATATGACTTGACCCAAGCAATGTTCTAAAAATATGAGGTCAAAAAAGGAAAAGGTAAATATTTTAATTAATAAAAGTACACAAACAGAAAAAGTTTAAAACATCACCTAAAGATATAATACACTGCTTACCTCAAGTAGATAAAAATACCTATTGAATTGCGGGCTCTTTGTATCTTCTAGCCCCTTCAACTGCCTTGTTATAAACATAAATATATCCTTTAGAAAACAAAAGAAAAGTATTATTTAGATTATGAATGGCAAATGAAAACACACATCTATTAAGGCTAATTCAGTACATATGTGAATATATAATAATGAATTGTAAAAAAAAAAAAGAACAAAAACGAAAAAGGACTTGGTTTGGGTGAAAAAAGGACTTGGTTTGGGTGAAATATTTTCAAAGTAAAAGTTTATATTAAGAAAACAAAGCCAGGTACCAGTGACTCTTGCCTGTAATACTAGCTACTCAGGAGGCTGAGATCTGAGGATCTTGATTCCAAACCAGACAAGAAAAGGCCAGTAGATCCCCTATCTACAATTAACTATCAAAAAGTCAGAACTGAAGCTGTGACTCAAGTGGTAAAGCACTAGTCAGACAAAAAAGCCCTGGGACAGCACCCAGCCCTAAGTTCAAGCCCCAGTACAGCACACATGCATGCACGCATGCACACACATACATGATCTAGCATAGTCTAGAACAATCTGATATGAAAAACACTACATATTTAATGTATACAAAACATTAAATCATTCACATGACCCTAGAAAACAACAATCTTCATCTTAAACAAAACAGCCCCCTCCAAAAAAACCAAGTCAACTAAATATACTATTACTAGAATAAAAATGGTGTAATAACAGAGCTAATCAAGTCTGCCTACATAGTAAAATGTCTGGTAAATATATATAGTAAGAACAGAGCTAAGAAGATTTCAAATAAAATTGACAGTGACAACATATCAGAAATTTTACTGAGAAGCTCAGAGGTTAAAAAAAAACAAAACAAAAAAACTTTAAATAGACATGTTAAAAAAAATTAAATACCTTAATTAAAAATTTTAAAATAATGAAAATACAATTTATTTTAGAAATCAACTTGTCAGCCTTCCTAGCTAACCACTGTAATTAATTACTGTCCTCCCACCCCTGCCTTTCTCAATCGATTCCTATCTCTTGCTTTTTTTTATTAACTGTTTTGTACCTAGACAGGCTCAGTATCACTTTGAGTCAAATTACTAGAAAAATGAGTTTCAGATGAAATGTAGATGTTATTTTGAAAGGTTTAAAAAAAGGGGGGCTTATACAAATTATAAAAGCTACTTTCTACAAAGAAAGCATGTTAGCAATCAATGAGAGAAAAATGTTCTCTTGTAAGCAAAATTATGTTAAGTCAGGCTCAGAGAGAAAAGGATGCTTGTTAAATTATAACTACATAGGAAAAACACAAAGTCGTATTCACTTATACATAATCAAACTGACTAAAGTATGGTATACCCAGGGGTAGATTCCCATGTTATAACTCCTTTGAACAATTAAAAGACGGTTTAACAAAATGAATACCAGGAAGCTGAAACATGTCTTTCATGAAGGGGTTGGGGGTAGAGAAGAACTTAAGAGGCAAGAGTCAGAAATGGAAAGAAGGGTGTGTGAATACAACTGCAATAATCAATGTACATGTGTAAAACTGGGACCCGGTATCTTCAGGGGATAGGTGTGGTTGGGATAAATAGGGGGAGAATGGACAGGGTGACAATAAACAAGATACATTGTACTCATATTGACATGTGAATTGAAGCTTCTTTGTATAAATATAAAGATAATAAAAATTTAATATTAAAAAAGGAAAACATCTGCTCTAATAGTAATACTGTGTAATATAATCTACAAATGATGCCTTCCTAGATTGTACAAGAGAATACATAGCCTACTAACTCTATCTAGAGATGGAATGACAATGGTAAACTCATTTACAACCTTTCCAATTAGCCAGGTGGGTTCCTTGATGACAATAACAAACTGATTGTAGAAAGATTAGATAAGAGATGTGAGGATTTCTAATAAATATAATACTATAGTAGAACTTGATGCTAATCAAAAGTGAAAATTATCCATAACTCTAAAGCATTTTAAGAAAAAAATTAATATTTTTAAGTAAATGCCAAAGGAAAAAAATGGCTTTATTTTTTAAAAAGCAAACAACAACAACAACAATAATAATAATAACCAAGCAGCAGGGTTCCGGTGGTTCATGCCTATAATCCTTGCTACTCAGGAGGCTGAGATCTGATGATCATGGTAAGGCTCTTATCTCCAATTAACCATCAGAAAACTGGATGTGGCACTGTGGCTCAAGTGGTAGAGTGCTCACCTTGAGCTGAAAAGCTCAGGGACAGTGCCCAGGCCCAGAGTTCAAGCCCCAGAACCAACCCCGCCCCCAAAAAAGCAAACACTAAACATTTAACCAGCAAATAATCAAGGATAGTAATTTGATCTTAGCTCTTCAATATTTAATAAATTGTCCTGATATAAATATACATCTATCCATACAAGAGCCAGTGGCTCACACTTATAATCCTAGCTACTCAGAAGGCTGAGATCTGAGGATAATGGTTTGAAGCCAACCCAAGCAGGAAAGTCTGTGAGATTCATTATCTCCAATTAACCACCAAAAAAACAGAGGTGGCTCTGTGGCTCAAAGTGGTAGAGCTCTAGCTTTGAGAGGAAAATGCTCAGGCCCTGAGTTCAAGCCCCATGACCTAAAAAATAAATAAATAAATAAATAAGTAAATACAACAGATCTGTGCCTATTCTTTTGGAAGGATTTTCTATTACCCCAAAGCCTTGAAAGTTGTATAGTAGTAGTCTATACTCTTCACAAGAAGGCCAGCAAAAAGGGCCACAGACTACATTAAACAAGTATAATCATTCTTTAAGCCACCTAATTCATCTCCAAATTAGTGGGTAACAATGAGTAATCAAGCCATTGACCTAAAATACACAACCACCTCATGTTATCTACTTTTAAATCTCTGACCATTCACAAATGATACAATTCAACTTCTAAATGTCAAGTATTGTCCCTACTTCCCCTGTCTTGCAATTCTTTGTGTGTGTGTGTGTATGTGTGTGTGTCCAGTAGTGGGGCCTGAACTCTGGGCCTGGGCGCTGTCCCTTAGCTCTTCAGCTCAAGGTTAGCACTCTACCACTTGAGCCACAGCGCCACTTCCGGCTTTTTTTCTTTTTGCTTATGTGGTGCTGAGGAATCGAACACTTGGCAAGGCAAGCACTCTACCACTGAGCCACCTTCCCCGCCCTGTCTTGAGATTCTTTAACCAATATGAATATAAACCAAGCATCCCAAACCATTCTGTGCATTCCATAGTTGAATTCTGTCAGACCTGATCAAATGGAAGGTTCCTAAAGATCCATGAGTGCTTTCCCTTTCCCACATTGTAAACAAAGTTTCTGGCACATAACTAACATCATCTTTTGTTAAGCAAATACAAACTGCCTGTTCCTTTTGACTCTGTGATTTATTCTTCCTAGGGATAGTCATTCTATAACCCCTGGCTTCCACAATTATCTTTTAAGGGGGTTGCTTTTCTTTGTCTAAAAATTCTAAGTTGTCTTATAGTCATTTGATGTTTTTGTATAGCTCTAATTCAGATTTTACTACATAATATCTTCTCATGACAACCATGGTCTTTAATAAAGGTTTTCGAAAGGGAAAAGACTCAAACTGATAAAGAAACAGAACTGGTGGGGCTGGGAAGGTGGCTCAGTGGTAGAGCGCTTGCCTTGCATGTGTGAGGCCCTGGGTTCGATTCCCCAGCACCACATAAACAAAAAGAAAAAAAAGCCGGAAGTGGGGCTATGGCTCAAGTGGTAGAGCGCTCGCCTTGAGCTGAAGAGCTGAGGGACAGCGCACAGGCCCAGAGTTCAGCCCCCCCCCAAAAAAAATAAACAGAACTGGTAATGATGTCATAGTATTAAGGCTACTTATCCTGAAAATCACAAATTACCACTCAAAAGTAAGTTCTAAAGACAAGTTTAACACCAGTACTAGCACTAATATAAAAAAATCCAGAGAAACTATTTTAAAACTTTTAAACCCCATTTTAGTTTCAGAACTCAAAGTATCAATCTTGGCAGTTCTTAAAATCAGTACTTACCTTTAGTTTATCGGGAGATGTATAAGGAGCCTCCGGAGCATAAATTCTGAAAATATCAGCAAGGCAGCAGGCTACTAGTAAACGAACATCCTTATCAGGATGCTTGAGGAAAAAATCTGAAGCAAGATGTAAAGCTAAATTTAGATAAAGCTCTTTTTCTTCTTCAGAGTCCTGGTCCATGTCCATGAAGGTTTTCACAACCATCTACACACAAAATAAAAATAATCAAACAGAGAAATGCTTCATGTAAAAAACGCAGTCATTTAAAATAAAGATCACGGAAGTGGCGCTGTAGCTCAAGTGGTAGAGCACTCGCCTTGAGCTGAAGAGCTGAAGGACAGTGCCCAGGCCCAGAGTTCAAGCCCCACGACCGACAAAAAAAAAAAAAATTAAAATAAAGATCACATTAATTACAAAGAATCATTCTAAATATATTTTAGCTTTTCCACAGAAAATGTCTCTTTGAGAGAACAAGACTTTTCTAAAACCCTTAAGTTAAATAACTTCTCCGGGAGAAACTAAATTATTTTTCAAGCTAAGCCCAAGGTGGCTCAGGCCCATAATCCCAGCCCTTGGGAATGAATGAGAGAGGATCATGAGTTAAGCCAGCCTAGACTACATAACAAGACTCTTATCTCAAAAACCTTAATTTGAAAAACAAACATTTTCATTTACCATATATATGCTTACTATTTTTTTTAACTTTTATGGTTAACATTGTGCATGGTCAGTATTGGAAGAATTTCAATGGTTATTGCTTGAACTTCTAGCCTCATTTGTACAAATGAACTAAAAGGATTACATCTTTCTCAAAAATAGCACGTTTTAAGTAATATTTTAAACTTTCCTTTAAGAAAAAAATCAGGGGCTAGGAAGGTGGCGCAGTGGTAGAGCGCTTGCCTTGCATGCCTGAGGCCCTGGGTTCGATTCCTCAGCACCACATAAGCAAAAAGAAAAAAGCCAGAAGTGGTGCTGTGGCTCAAGTGGTAGAGCAAGAGTTCAGGCCCCATGACCAAACCCAAAAAAAAAAGAAGAATCTATACAAACAAATGGGAGGTAACAAACATTTTGACTAAAATATTACAGGAAAATTTAGAAATTATATAAACAATGTCATCCTATATATTAGCAAATCTTATAATTTATAAGACATATTTTGATATTTGTATATATTTGATAAACAGTTGTATATTTTGAAAGACACTGGTATTATCAAAAAATATCCAAGCTGGGCACTGGTGGTTCATTCCTGTAGTTCTAGCTACTCAGTAGGCTGATAGGCTGAGATAGAAGGATCACAGTTCAAAGCCAGTCCAGTAAGGAAAGTTCATGAGACTCCCTGTCTCCAATTAACCACCAGAAAATCAGAAGTGGTACAATGGCTAAAAGTGGTAGGAGTGCTAGCCTTGAATGAAAAAGCTCAGGGACAACACTCGGGCCCTGAGTTCAAGCTCCACAACTGACAAAAAAAAGGAGAAAAAAAGAGTAATATCACCCTACATTAAATTCATTTTATACTTCTCTAAAAAATATGCTAAGAATAATAGAAGGATAAAAATTGGAAAAATAAGTGATAAAGCCCACTAAAAATTAAATTTAAAAATGACAAAGTATATCAAACAGAATGCAGCTAGGTATAAACGTCTGCAAAATAATCATAACATACTACTAACATACTAAATATGAGTACTATAGAAAGTATTATACAAAGAATAACAAAATTTGCTCAAGGTTCAGTTAACAGTAATTTTTCACTAGTGAATTTATTTCCAAGTGAATCAAACTCATTAATGGTAGGCACCAGTAGCTCATGCCTGTAATCCTAACTACTCAGGAGGCTGAGATCTGAGAATCAAAATTCAAAGCCAACCTGGGCAGCAAAGTCCATGAGACTCTTATCTCCAATTAACTACCAAAAAGTGACTAAAGTGACCGAGTGCTAGCCTTGAGTGAAAAAGCTAAGGGATAGTGTGCCCAGGCCCTGAGTTCAAGTCCCTGCATCTACCCCCACACACACACAAAAAAAAAACCCTCAACAATAATGACTAATGTGAGTCCTCTAAATTAAAAAATATGTCTGAGAAAAATAACATCTCTAAAGACACTAAATACTAATCAGCTTAGGAAATCTCTGCATTCACTTAGTTTCTCAGCAAATAACAGATATCTACCTACCATTTTTGGAATATACAAATGTGAGGAAATAAAATAATTCATTTCTATTTTTAAAAAATGAATGGGTCAACAGAATAGATATACACAGAAAATGACACGTTATACCCAGAAAGGGGTTAAAACTTGACTGTTTTTGATAACATATAAACAAGTTCCTAACTAAAATACCTAAATATTAAATGTACTCTGCTCAGAGATTTTTTTTGGGGGGGTGGGGACCTTGAAACCAAGAACTCAAGGCCTGAGCACTATCCCAGAGTTTTGTTTTATTTTTTAACTCAAGACTAACATTCTACCACTTGAGCCACAGCTCCACTTCTAGCTTCTCATGGTTATTTGGAGATAAATTTCACAGACGTTCCTGTCCAGGCTGCGTGGAAATGCAACCCTCAGATCTCAGTGTCCAGACTAGCTAGGATTACAGGCATGAACCACCAGCACCTGGCTCAAAGGTATCTTTCTTTTAAATAGTAAATACCTTATATCTGGCATCTGGACACTTTATTTATACAGGCTAAAGATCATGAAATTAGTATTAACATCCTTTTTTCCTTATTAAAAAATACCATATAGCAATATAAAATAGTATTACGTTTTATGGTTCCTGGGTCTTCAGTAGTAACAATTTCAGCACTGATGTTCAATAACATATTAATAATTATTACACACTGCATTTTTGTATTATATTATCCATGTGTGTAATTATTATATTAAAGAAATAATAAAGAAATTATAATATAAATGTCCAGGTGATAAAATCCAGGAAAATATGCCAAAAAATAAAGCAGAATAACATTTACATTGCTTGCTATATTACCTACTATATGATATTAACCATTTTAACAATGACAGAGGATAAGGCAAAACATTAACTCAAAATACATGTCATATATGTGACTGTTTCATCTTTGAAAATTCATCATCAGTTTTGATTTAGTGCTACATAGAAGCAGAGGAAAAAAACTAACAGTAAAATTCTAACCTACTCTTATAACTTTTATAACTACTGGTAGAAAGACTTAAGACTGTCCTTTGCAGATTTAAATTGTTTTAGAAAATGAAGAAAACTTTGTACATACAAAACAGACTAGTGTTGGCTTGGTCTGTATACTCAAGTATAAGAAGGCCCTAAAATATAAAGGGTCTGCCTTTCTTCTTCTTCTTCTTTTTTTTTTGGCCAGTTCTGGGGCTTGAACTCAAGAGACTGGGCACTGTCCTTGAGCTTCATTTGCTCAAGGCTAGCGCTCTACCATTTGAGCCACAGTGCCACTTCCAGTTTTTTCTGTTTACATGGTACTGTAAAAAATTGTGCATACTAGGCAAGCACTCTACCACTAAGCCATACTTCCCAGGTCCAGCTTCGGCTTTCTAATTAAACTCCCATTAGCAGCACAGCCAATCCCTCTTACTCCTCACCTACTCTCCTCCCTTAGAATCTCAGAGAGCCACTAGCCTTATTTAAGTTGCCCTAAGAAAATAAAGTCTTAAATGTTTCCTTCCCATCAAAACCCCACACAATAAACAGAAGTCCAAAACAACTTGTGACTCACCTTTAATCGTCTCACCATTTCCTCTTTAGATATTTTATCTGAGATTTCCTTGACCCCAGGAGGATAAGTAATCTTTCCATCATTGGTCCTCGTCTTTGAATGAGCCATGATGGAAATATTTTTACCCCTACAAGGAATTACAGGCAAAGAACATATTGGTACAAACAGCATTTATAATAAACATAAATAAGTAAACATAATAGATAACTTGCCCTCCAAAACAATTTATAACTACCTAATTTACAGTAATTTGTATATCTATAAAAAAAATCACTGATTGAAAAGTTCCCAAAATCATGGTTTTAGAAAAACTTGTTATTTCCAATAGTTACTTGTACTTTTTTTTTTTTGGTTGGTCATGGGGTTTTAACTCTGGGCCTGGGTGCTGTTCCTCAGCTCTTCAGCTCAAGGCTAGTGCACTACCACTTGAGCCACAGAGCCATTTCTAGTTTTCTGAGTAGTTTATTGGATATAAGAGTCTCACAGATTTTCCCTCCTGGGCTGGCTTTGAACCACAAACCTCAGATCTCCTGAGTAGCTAGGAATCACGCCCTGCTTAGCACTAACTTTTAACAGAATAATCAATAAATAATCAATAAACACTTGCACACAGGCAAGCACATACACATATACACACACACACACACACACACACACACACACACACACACATACACAAAGAGGAGAAAATATCCAAATCAGGGAATTTTTTAAAATATCAAAAGTTATACCAACCAATATCTAAGAGGAACCCAAAGAAACAAATAACACATTGGGGTATTATATTCACTTATGCTCTGAGGACAATTATCAATTCTGATAAAAAATAAGGTTGAGTTTTGGTGATCTCCTATGGCATAATGGAATAGAGTATACCTATCAAGGAAGAAAGTAAAATAATACTCTCCTGACAATAATACGGGATTATATAACCCAATCCTACAAAGGATACACACACAAAAAATAGTAGACAAAGTAAGAAATTAACCTTTTGGCCTTCCCCTACACCCAAAGACTAGTAAGGAAGGCTACTTTGATTGTTAACAGGGCAAAGTCATAATGGACACCAAGCAATAAGAGCTAATTAGTTACTGATGCTCACATGACCTGCCCAAGCCTGACAATTCAAAATATAAACCAGTGATATCCTCCTCCTCAAAATGGTACCATCCTAAGCACGCAAAATAACCCCAAATCCTTCCTAGAGAAAGGCATCTTTAGAAATCCTACTATGATGCTTCTAAGACAAAGAACAGTACACCAAGTCCAAGCACCAAAGAAAACAAAACAAGAAATAGTAGAAACAATATATAGAACAGATTCAGAATTTTTCATATGTTAATCTGAAGATCATAATCAGAGCAATCAGAGATCATAAAAACTACTACACTTGTAATCTTAAAGCAATAAGTGACAACTTTTTCTTTTTTAATTGTTGGCCATGGGGCTTGAATCCAGGGCCTAGGCGATGTCCCTGAGCTCTTTTACTCAAGGCTAGTGTTCTACCACTTCCATTCCACTTTTGGTTTTCTGGTGATTAATTGGAGGTAAGAGTGTCTCAAACTTTCCTGCATGGACTTGCTTTGAACCTTAATCCTCATATCTGAGCCTCCTGAGTAGGTCAGATTACAAGCATGAGCCACCAGCACAAAGCTGAGAGACAATCCTTACAAATGGCTACAGAAAAAAAAAAGAAACAAACATA